TTAGGGCCCGTTACATTTAATATCTTCCCCTTCTGTGGCTTCAAACAGAGAACTTCTTCAAAATGAAAGGGGATCCTGTTAAATGTATTCACTCGCCCGTGGCTGCTGTGGCAGAGGTGTGTCTATCAAACAGGTGGCTCTTAATACAGGAAAGGCCCTATAGTAACAAGTAGATGTTCTACTGTTTTATTGTAGTGGCTTCAACTTTCTGGTGTATTGGTATTAGTTGCGGGAGTTTTCCTTTTAACCTCTCTTAGGGCACCACTCCCTCCCACGTCCTGGCTATGTCCACGTATACGCGGCACATTACTGAAGCGGCTGGTTTCAAACCTTGATTCAGGGGACTTGATAGGAACTCGGTTATAAGGGTCCTTTAAAATTGAACTGCATCAATCCCCACTGGTTTTTAAATTACATGAAACCATCACCCCAATATACCTTTAGTGATAAAAGGAGTTTTTTTCCACTAGCAATTTCCAGATTTTGTGGTAGCAATAAAATAGTTTTAGTCATTTTATTTATTACACTAATGCCCATTCTGCTGACCTTTGAAAATATTATAGTTTAGCGACTAAGAGTCATAAAAACAGAGACCTCTTTAATGTTCTGTGTAGTTAAGTGGAATTTTTTGATATTTAAATATCTTGAAAGAAATTCAAGACTATTGGCTTACACAAAACAAATAACCTTCAGGAAGATTATAGTTCTTAACTGTTTCGTGTAAAAAGGCCCTATAAATGCAGAGAAAAATCATCCATATATGTATTGGCCTCTGAGAGTAAGTAACACAGGCAGAGAACACGTAGGCCCTTCCCTTGAATCTAATTCCTGTATCCTAAGTCTCTAAGAGACCTCCAGAAAGCATCTGTGCAAAGCACAGTGACCAAGACCACAGAAAAAAATACCACTGTATATCCCTTCTACCTCGTGGCTGTCAAAAAGTGATGCCAACTTGGGTTCATCTGAGCTACTTCACTCAGGTGGGTGGGGCAGGGGGGAGTTATTTGCAATGAATAAACTTTCACAGGCTGACAACAGCTCATCATCTGACCCGCAAGTCAAAAAAGCAGACTCGATACACAGCTGTGCTTCTTTTCACTGTAGGATAATTACATAAAATACGTTTTGATAGTCAGTGAGTTTTTATTTCCACAGTGTTTGGTAATGACCTCCTGAAAAGTAATTACAATCTTTGTGTCAAGCCTTACAAGTGCTCTGAGCATCATAAATGCCATGGGTGCTAACATGATTACGATGATAAAGACAGGCTGTGGTTAGGGTGGCTGTCAGGTTCACTGGTCCTCGCCTTGCCACGCTTGCTCTTTAACTTCGCCTACCTCTGCATGGTAAATATTCTTTTAGGATCGTATAAGATAAAATGAGATAATGTATAAAATACTAGGCGGGATGCTACTGAAATACAGATTACTTTGTGATGAGGCTACAATTGTCACAGTAAGTGTGGTGGGAAAGGGGGGCTGCTTCTGGGCTGTAATGCCTCATTATGATAAGGTAGATGCTATTAGTCAATTACATGACAATAATTTATTGATCAGTCATAAACCTATACATGCTGCTATTGTTTTTGTTATAATACTATTCAAGGTTAAGAAAATGTTTCCTGAAGTTTGTATTGTAACTATGAGCTTCGAGACATCTGGTTGTGTATCATTCTTTGCAATAGAGATTGTGGATAACATACTATTATAATATTATTTTACTTACACCTTGCTTCCATAAAGGATATGTGGAAGACTAAAGGAACTATATAATATAATCTCATTGTCACTATTGTCACTCATTAAGTTCTAGAATTTGTATCCATACTTGAAAAATTACTCATAAGAAAGGATACCAAAAAAAGCAAGTTGTAAAATCAGATCTCTGAAGGTAATTAAATAGATTAAATTGTGCCTTTCTTTGGCAAAGTCTTTTAGGATGAAATAGCATTTCTTTAGGAACACGTCTTTCTGAAAGAGCCTTCTGGTTGCTTTTATTTCTATGTTCTCTCAGAGAAAAACATTATCGAGCCCAGTGACCTGTAAGTATAACTTACTATTTTCTATTTTCTGAGATATAATTGAATAGTTATTTTCTTTAGTCTTTACTGACTTTATGTGAATGGCTCCCAATTGTTTTAGCTCTATAAATATTCCTGGTAAATCTACAGGATAATAATGGTAATAATGACAAATATTTACTGAGTATTCCTATGTGCCAAGCACAGTATTGTGCTTAATGAATGCATTTGAGTATTAACTCATTTCCAAGGTTTTTATTTTAACTATGCTTTGTGGTGACCCATTTCATAAAGCAAATGATGCCCTCTGAAAGTTTAGATTGTTATCTACTTGATATATTTAAGCCAGGGCTCGCCTGCAAATTATATATAGACATACAATTCTTGCAAAACAGTTTTAGCTCCAGAATATCAGCTACAATCTGTTTAGCACATAATGTGTGTCCTAAGCACTTTACATAAAACACCTCATTTAATCCACACAGGAACCCGAAGAGAAATCTTATATCCCTATTTTACAAATAGTAAAACTGGGTTTCAGAGACATAAGAAGCGTGTCCTATATGTGTATGAGCGATGATTCAAGCCTGAGTCTGAACCTCCAATCCTGTTCTTTCTCACCCGTGATGGTGCGAGAATATTTTATGTATCCCTTCCTATTTGGGCATGAGAACTGATTACTCCCCACGAAAATATGAACCTGGAAAGCACTGGAAGAGGTGAACACAGGACTGCTTAGCGATGGAGATGAAGGTTAGTATTGTAGCCGTCCGTGTCACAGAGAATGCATGCAGGCCTGGATCTTAGGGATCGCTGCAGACATTGAGGGGGAAGATAATGCAACAGAAACCATGCACCTTAGCACCTGGGAACCTCTGAGAGAGGCAGTGAAAATGGTGCTCATCCCAGGCAACTGGGTCCCTGAGCCCCGCAGGGAGCACGGTGAGCAAGGGCAGGTGGAGCAGGGTCCCTCCGGTTCCGTGACAGTCCGCACCTAGTTCTTTCTTCCTGCTTCCCCGTACTGCTGACCAAAGGGATTTTCTGTTCTCCTCACGTCAGTGTTTATACAGACCCTCCCACCCTGGCACTGTGCAACTTTGCCAGTAACAACTCATAGAAATGTTTGGGGTGGGAGGGAAAAGCTGGACTGAACTCATTTGAAACCAGTTTAAAGCAGAGGCTCGTTCCTACCTTTGGCCTCCTCTGTTTATGGACGTGTTTTACCTAATGATCAGGAGATAGACTCAGAATAACCTGGCTGTCCTATGCGACACGTGTAAATGAGAAACACTCCTCAGGGTCATTTTCGATGGCTTCCCCCACTGAATTCATCTACAAGCAGACTCAGTAAGAAAGAGTTTGGGGCGAGGGGGGTCCCTCAGGCTGCCACCACTCCCCGAGGCTTTTCCACTCAGAGCTGCCAGAGGACAAATAGCAAACCTGCCTCAGCCACACATGTTGGAACCCAGAGGACCCTAAACAGACGCAAGCTGGCGCAAATCCGTCCTGACACAGTGTCACATTGGCCTGTGCAACACAAAACACCCAGAATAGCACACAAGAGGGGGGACCAGAAGGGACTCGACACCATCCAACACTGCCTCTGGCTCCACCCCAGCCTGCCTTACCATAACCCTGTGCCTTCCCTGTCCTTTCCTGTGTCTTTAATCGACACTTGCCTGGAGGAGCCCGTGATTCCAATCAAGGGAAATGATAGCTAAGATTCTGTTCGCGGCACCACTCCCCAACCAAGAGCATGTGACTCAGGAACCCGGCAGTCAGAATGCAAAGCGTGGCACGGTTCTCCCTCCATCCCTTCTTGGCCTACTCACCCCCACGGAGTCCATCTGTGGCAGGAAATGTGATGGCACTGGGACCCGAGAGCCCTGGCCTATTTGCTGGAGAAGCAAAGCCTTCCCTCCTCCCCCGTTAAAAGAAAGGAGACTGAACTAATCGAAACCTGCAAGCCTGCTGGTGGGGCTTCAGCGTGGCAGTGGTGCCAGTCAGCGGAGTGAGTAACGGCGTCGAGCTTTGCAGAAAAGGAGAGCGGGAGAGAGACAGAGACAGAAACACAAAGAGAGAGAGAGAGAGAAAGGCATTAACCTGGCCAGGAGTCACACAGGTGCCTGGAGCCCGACCGCTGGGCAGTGTCTAAGAATACAGGATCTGACTATGTGCCCCTGGAGGCCACTGTATTTCTGGGGCGGGTGATGCCGTGGTATGTGCAGAGGGTGTGCTGAGAGATGTATTTCTTATTCACAGGACTCGTGTAGTTGGCCAAGAGCCTTTAGGTGGACGATGGGGAGGCTGTTTACCCCACGCACTCCCACCGCGAGCCACAGGCGGTGGCTTTGGCAGAGTGGACGTATGAGCACTGGGCTGCCACATGGAGAGCGATAGCAGTGCGCTCTGTGGTTCACAGAAAGGCTGCCCTGGGCTGAGCTGGCCGCTCGGAAGCCACGCATAGCCTTTTAAGGCTCTTCCAGGCCTCACTGCACCTCAGGTTTGTGATAAGCATCTTAAATGTGCAGGTGCTCTCTCCTGAAGCTGGTTAGCTTGGACTCCTGGGACTTAAAAGCCTTTAGAAATGGGGGGCTGTGCCATGACTGTCATCTGGCTCACAGGCAGGTGTGAGGAAAAGAGAGGAACAAGCAGAGGAAGGCCTGGCAGGAGACCCTCAGGAGAAGGCCCTGGTGATAGGGGCTGTGCCCACCGGGGGGTACAATGCAGCAGGACGCAAACTGGTGGCATGCACTATCGCCTTAGGAAATATGCCATCTCTGGAGCGTTTCTGACTTAAACTGGGAGGATATTTATAACCCCTAATTCAGAAGACCCGGTCTGCCAGTTGTCAAATCCTGGCCCACATGCGTCTGAGAGAGAGTTACTGTGAGCACAGGTAAGATAGACGTGGCCCATCCTGCAAGCCCAAGCCCACCTCTGCACGGGAGTGAGTTTTGAGTTGAAGTGTGGTCTTTACCTGAAATACGCCTGGGCACGTCGGTGATGGCAGGGAGCCCGGTGCCCCGTGTGGAAGACAGCGGGGTGGTGGAGTGAATGGACGGGGAAGTCATCTGGCTCAGGTAGGAGGGGTAAGACTGGTCATAGGACCACGGTGGGGAAGACTGTGCCTGCCTGGGGTCTGGAAAAAGAAAAAAATCTTTAGTATACCAGCTGCTGGGACCTTAAAACACACAACCCAAACAGTATAAAACACACACACACACACACACACACACACACGGTCTATTTATTCCCTACAACCCCATCCCCTCAGGCCCTATATAGCACAAAGCTAGACAGACTTTAGGTGTCAAAAAAAGCAACAAAATGAATCACAGGGAAGGACTATTTGTCTCTCACATAAACATGTCTACTTCGAAAGCCTAATAGTCATTAGAAAACAATCTGCTTCAGTTATCTTTGCAAAGCTGAATTCCATTTTACTTGCTTTCTGTACTTTACTCCAGTGAACATGTACTACTTATTTCTTTTAACGTTTAAAAATTCTTTGAACAATGAACTTAGTGAAGGAACAGGCAGACTGCTGCCTTATATGCGCTGTACCCAGCTACTCTTTCAGGCATGCTTTTGGCTTTCATCGTGTGTGATGCCACCATGTTAGCACGGCTCACTTTCTTCCCAGGCCGGTCGGTGGGATGTCACTTGCTAGCACGGAGTTGGGGGCAGAGATGAGAACAGGGTGGGCAGCATGTGAGAAGAACAGAATGGAGGGGAGCTCATGGTAAAATTACTCCAGAAAATAACCTTTACAAAAAGGCAAAACTTAACTTCAAAGTCAACTACTATGAAGAACTGAAAAGCTTCATCACCATCCAGACAATAAGAAAAATGATCCAAAACAGGAGAACAGGGACATGTCTTTAAACCTATTAGAATCTGTTTTAAAAAGGTGTCACGTGTTTGGAATGTGACCTAGTGTTACCTACAGTCACTGTGATAATAAAAATAACGGGCAGCCAACTTGTTAGGGTTCACTGCTGACCATCAATGCTATTTTGGGGGGTATCTTTATGGAGTTTCTTGGAGGAACAAACTCAAACCAAGGCCAAGCAGATTTATCAAGAGCTTCAGTCTACATATGAAAAAAATGTCAATTTTCTCTATGTTTCCAGGGCGGAAAAGTGTATATTTCAAACTGTTTTGTTCTTACTTGAGGGCTAATCAAACATAATCACAAGCACATTTCTCTTAACATTTTTTTTTCTAGTTTCAAACATTTTTGTTAATTTTTAAAATGTTTGTTAATTTCTAAAATTCTAATATAGCAGGCCATTCGCAAGACAGCGTTATATATTAGAATATCTATGGATTTTGGAATGTTCAGAATTAGGTTCAGGCTCTGAAACTTCTACTTTCTAACTGTAATCTTGGGTTAATAACTCAGTGACTCTGAGCCTCAGTTTCCTCATCTGTAAAAGGGGTAGAGGAACAATAATATCTAAATCACAGGGATGTGATGATTACAGGAGAAAACTATGAGTAGAGGACTAGCATAGGAGGCACTCCGTAAGTATTAATTTTTCTCTTTAAAAAAAAAAACTCTTTGTAACACTAGGGTAGTTCCATGGTTAAAACACATCTTCATTGGAGTTAATAAATTTGCAATAGGTTTTAAATTATGCCTACATCACCTGTCAGCCTCTGGATATGAAAGGCTTATTTTTCAAAAACTATTAAAATATTTGGATAGTCAATTAAAGTTTATTTCTTAAAAAATGAGAATAACAAGACATAGGTTTTTCTGAGATGATTCCTCTTTTTAAATACTTCAAGTTTTTCTCTACAAAGTCATCTAGTTTCAGCTATTTCTTGTTTATTTGTTCAATTCAGAAACAATTTATTTAAAGACTGTCTAAATAGGACATACTTTTCTTGACTCAAAATAATTAAACACATCTGGATATTTATCTGATATTTACTCTACCAACAAATATATAGAAAAATTCATCCTTATTCCATTTTCAGAAACATTTTTACCTGAGTTTGCAATTTGAATAAAAGTATATTAGTGTAAATGGTGACCATAAACTTTTCCTTCAGAAATCTAAAGGATACTTGGTCGTTAAAGTAATGAACCTTTGTACTTTAAAATGTTCAAGGCTGAGATTGTATAGATTGGCAGCATTTCAAATCTGAGTGAGTGGTCCTTGTTATATATCTGATACTGACTTCCTTGCTTTAACCGTTAATGTAATTCACTATTCAGAGAAATGGGAAATGATCTTCAGATGGGAAAAGACACATTCCTTACAGCACCAGAAGCAACATTTTCAATAGACACAAGGGTCAGGAACCACAGAGCTGAGTTGGGCACAGAGGGACTCATATTTGGGTTTGAGTTCTACTCTAACGTCACCAGATGACTTCCTGAGCAAAGCAGTGTGGCCTGAGTGTCCATTCCTCACCTGTGACATGTAGTCACCAGTAGTATTGGGGTTCCATGCCCCCAAATAGGGAAAAAAATACAAAGAAATGTAAAGAGTGACTAAAATTATTAAAGTTAAACATATCACAAAGAAATTGGGGAACTTAACTTGGATGTAAGATACAGCCTTTCTCTTTAAAAAAAAACAAAACAAAAACAAAACTCTTGGTGACACAGGGATAGTTCCATGGTTAAAACAAGTCTGCAGTGGAGTTAATACATTTGCTATAGGTTTAAAGCTATTCCCACATCACCCAGGCCTCCTTGTGCAGAAAGGCAGCCCAGTGCCAGGAAAACAAGTGAAGAGAGGATCCAAGGCGGAGTCCAGCAGGTTTAATAATATCATCTCAGAGCGTTGTGTAAGCATTAAATAATACAGAGTGGGTGCAAACCCTCACTATAAGCTGTATGACCTCAGCTGTGTCATCATGCGCTCTGTACCTCAGTTTCCCCGTGTGGAAAACGAGGCAGCACAATATGGTAGAGCGAATACGGCAAGGGGAGTTATGTGTATGTGGCTAGGCAGAGCTCCCCACTGCACTAACCAAGGCACTTAAACTTTGGGTGCCTCAATGGCTCATCTGGAATAATGATACTTATTAGGGTTGCTGTGAGCAGTACATGAACTAGGCCTTACATGATAAGTCATCTGATACTCCTGGCAATATTAAGTGTATAGTATCTAGAAGTGATTATTGCCCTCTGAAAAATGAATATAATAATAACTACTATCATTCTGTTTACAAAATTAGATGAGATAATATAAGTAAAACATTTGAGTAACTGGAAAGTGGTATACTGAAACTTATTCTCTTTAGGAGGCACATCATCAAGGCCCTGCTGTGTGATTTGGGGTGTGTTTCTCAAAGTTGCTGAGCTTTAATCTCCTCATCTGTAAAACAGGTTTGACAATGTTATCTCAGAGAGTTGTGTAAGCATTAAATAATATAGAGTGGGTGCAAATCATCATTATTCTTCAAAAATTTAAAAATCTGACTCTAAACTATGCAGTGTGGCTGGGTTGCCTAGTGTTATTCGTGAAGATTTCCAAGGACACATTCAGCATAATCGGGTATAACGCCTGTCACACAGTAGGTACTCAATAAACCCCCAGGGAATGACTTTCCAAGGTGGCTTGAGAGTGAATAATGGAATTTTACAAGAAGTAGTAGTCATTTTCTAACTTCCCCTATAAAAGCAGTTGTGTCAGTGAGGTTTTAGCTTCTACATAAACTTCCTGCCAGAACAGTCTATTAAAGGATAGTTTTACTTAGTGGGGGTCCTTCCTGAAGATAGCCAAGATTAGCCAAAATAACTTCTCACTATCCCTAAACAACTGAGAAGATCTCGCTGCGTTTTGGGGTGCTTTGTCTCTCAGAGGGCAGGCTGCAGTCCAGCCAATCTCTTTCAAGGCCACCATCACCATCCTAAGATTCTATAATAATGACCTACTTAAGAAGAGAGCGTTACTAAAGAAAAATAGAACACAAGAGCTGCCACGTGGAGATCACTAGATTTGAGTATAAGTAATTTTAAAAGCGACAGCAATCTTTTAAAAAAAATGTTTTTCAATTACAGTTGACATAAAATATAACATTCATTTCAGATGTACAATATAGTGATTAGACATTATATAACTTACAAAGTGATCCCCCCAATAAGTCTAGTACCCAATTGACACCACATACAGTTATTACAATATTACTGACTATATTCCCTGTGTGGGATGGCAATCTTAACAAACACATAATGGTTTCTAAAGACCCTAGGCCTTCCCTAATATCCTGTGAAGGAACCATTAGTCATCAATCCTAGCTCCACCATTTCTGGCCTGGGTGATCTTGGACAAATTATATAACCTACCTGAGCTTCAAGCTTCCTAATCTGTGTCATGGAGATAGACCTCCCCACTAAGGTTGCTATGAATGAGATGATGTAATAACAAACTTAGCACATGGAAAGAACTCAATAAATGTTCCCCACTGTTAAAACTTACACCTTTACTGAACCTTCATTCTGTATTTAGGTTTCCAGCCCATGAACTCTAACTCTAGCAGAGGACAATTACTAGGAAGCTTGCTATAGTTTTGAAGTTCACTATTTGGAGAATATATCTGTGTTAGTCACGTCGTACCCACTGCAATCATTTAACCTTAATCACGTTCTTTCTTAGTCTTGGTTTCTCCAAGACCAAGAAATCTTCATCTCTTTTAGTGCATTTTCTAAGACTGTACACTTTAACTTTTTTCAAAATGTTAGGGGAGAAAAAATGGCTCTAAAATACCTTGACTTGCAAATGCCCGATCACCAAGAAAGTAGAATTCTGTTATAAATATATGATTATAGCGCATTTGCTTTGTTGTACCAATGATTCATGCTTACAGAGAGAAAATTCACCTCAACCTGATCTCATAAAGGATTTCTGATCTCAACTTCCTGAAGAAACCTGAGACTTCTGAGATTCACTCTTAACTTGGATGAGTCAGAGCAGGTGACAGATGTTTTTTAAGCATCACCAGTCAATCCCAAGGTCATTAATAGGAAGGAGTGCAGGGCCCAGCTCTGAGAAAAACCTACTGATTAACCACTAACAAACCAGAAACTGTCTTCATCTCAACCTCAGGCCCCACAGAGCCAGTATAATCCACTCTTTCACTCTGCCCATCCAGAGTTACATTGAGTAGTTTGTCTTC